ATATATATGTATGTGTGTAAAATTGTTTTAATTGGCTACATGTGTTTTTACATCTATTTTAATAATGAATAATTAAAGAATGTTTCAGGAAAAAATGTGGACTGAATTCGGGATATAAATTTATCATTCTTTAAGTTATCTTATTTTCCTCATTTCCCCTCACCTTTTACATATGTTTTTAATATCTATATCCAACCAAACCTAATGAAACAAATGAAATCGAAATTAAAACGTTTGTTTCAAGCTGATTTATTGTAACGTTACCCTCTAGTGGAAATATAGTGTCACTGCATACTCACGATTGTACTTTCAAAGCAAAAGGAATATTTTAAAAATGATTTGATAAAAATGGATAAAGTACGATATATTGTTTTCATTGGTTACACGTGTTTTTTACATCTATATTTAGCCACGGTTATTTAAAAAATGAAACTGAAAAGTTAAACGCCAGTTTCATTTCAGAGTCGCCCTCTAGTGGACACATTGACAAAYTGCACATTTGTTCGTCAAACTTGTATCAAACTAACATTTCCGGAAGGTACTTTCAAAACAAAATAAATAATTGAAAGAAGTTTGAAATAAAAGTGGAGTGAATTCGGGGTAAAAAATTAATTTTGTAATTTGTTACATCTGTTTAACATCTACATTTAACGACAGTTAGTTAAAGATATCAAATCGAATAGTTAAACATTAGTTTGAAGCTAAATCCTTATAGAGTCGCCCTCTAGTGGACAGATTAACAAACTGTACACTCGTTTGTCAAACTTGAATAAATGATATCATGCTAACATTTCCGAAAAGTACTTTCAAAACAAAATGACTAATTAAAAGCTGATTCGGATAAAAGTGGACTGAATTCGGGATATAAATGCATTATTCTTTAAGTTATCTTATTTTCTTCATTTGACCCTCACTTGTTACATGTGTTTTTATTATATATCCAACCAATTAAACAAATTAGATCGAATTTAAAACATTGGATTCAAGCTGAATCATTGTAATGTCGCCCTCTAGTGGACAAACAGAGTAATCGCACGTACGTTTGTCAAAGTTGCATAAATCATACCATGCTATTTATTTATTTATTTATTTATTTATTTATTTATTTATTTATTTATTTATTTATTTATTTATTTATTTATTTAAATTTTTTTATTTATTTATTTAGGCATCGTTATGGACTTGTTAACGCCTAGCAGCCGTGTGATCAGTCACGTGACCAAAATAAATCGTGACATCATTGAGCAACATGGCGGCCTTCCTGGAGGCAACGTTGTGTTGGTAATTCTGTTAACTTCACCGATCGGAAAGCTCTGCTTTTCGTGAAGATGAAGACCTTCTGCGGGAGAGTGAACCCGACCACCGGAGCTCTGGACTGGGTGGAGGAGGGCGACGAGTACGACTACCATCAGGAGATAGCCAGGTAATTCTGGACCGAACCAGGCGGCACAAGAGCCAGCATGCCGTGGCAAAGACTGCAGCCCGGGGCCGCTCAGAGGTCCACAAAACAACAGACTTGTTTGATCATATATTTCCACTGAGAATAGCTGTGGAGGCTTTTATCTGTCACAGCAAAACATTACAAATTCTATAAATATGAAATCAAAATAAGATAGTTTAAGCCAACATTGCTATAAAATAATCTAAATGGAGCCATAAATATTGTGCTTCTTGGTGTAACAAAGAACTCCTCTCAATATTCAAATAAAAACAGACAATAATAAAACGAATGATCCTGTAGGTAAAAGTAAACAAAATAAATTCATTAAATGACATGGATTCCACTCAAGTTGTAAACACAAGTGTGATATTTGCATTCAGAAATTGTTTTTTGCAGCTATGCTTTGAATAGACTGAAAGAACCACTTTGTTGATAAACTATCAGAACCTGACTAACTAACTAACTGGATGGATGGATGGATGGATGGATGGATGGATGTGTAAGTGGGGTGTGACTGTGTTCATCTGGACTGTATTTATTGTTTTCCATTTAACACAAAGCTACATTTTTATTCCCATTCAGTGCAACTCAGTGCTCCTGCTGTTTGTTTGTGTTTCAGGTCGTGTTATGCTGATATGCTGCACGATCATGACCGGGTGAGAACTTCTCTGCTCTGTTCCAGCATTAATACTCAGTTTGAAGCTTTATTTATCACTTTGATAAATAACTACAGCAGAGTTTTAGCTTTTATCCAACTGAACAAATCACTGTGACAAATAAATTCAGTATTTTTGAAGCAACAGCTGGTAGTACCGTAAGTTAGATTATTTATTTTATTTTACTTTTATTTGCTCTCTTTCAGAATAAAAAGTACTATCAGGGCATCCGGGCCGCTGTGACCCGACTAAAGGCTCGAGATGAGAGAGTCGTGGTTCTGGACATTGGGACCGGAACCGGCCTGCTGTCCATGATGGCCGTCACTGCCGGAGCGGACTTCTGCTACGCTGTGGAGGTACATAGTTTGTGTGTGCGTGCGTGCGTGCGTGCGTGCGTGCGTGCGTGTGTGTGTGTGTGTGTGTGTGTGTGTGTTCCCAACTAACCGCTGAGTTTACTAGGTGTACAAAAATAGCAGGTGCACTTTTACAAAATATAATGAAATAAAACAAATGAACATTTAACATCAGTTTTTCTGATGGCTGCTGCTAAAACACAAGTTGTGGATTTGTTAAATATTTTCTTATGTTACAGATTACAGTATACATACTGTATTAACATGCAGCTAATATTTAATTTAATAATGCTTGACTATAATATGACAGTATAAACATGGAAAACAGAGAGAATCACAACTTCTGAACCTTTTCAGGAAAAGTAAATATATATATATTATAAGTTTAAAAAAACTACAAATTCTGACACTTTGAGAAAATGTTTGATCTTTGTTTCCTTTTTTTTAATAATCTCTATAGTCGTTAAATATTGTTGTTGTTTTTTAGGTTTTTAAGCCCATGGCTGAAGCAGCTCAGAGCATCGTGGAGAAAAATGGCTTTTCTGAAAAGATTAAGATAATTAATAAACATTCAACAGACGTGACAGTCGGACCAGGTCAGGGAGAAGCAACACACACACACACACACACACACACACACACACACACACACACAC